GCAAGAATCAAAGGAAAGGTGTACAAGACAGTAGTGAGACCAGCTATGCTGTATGGGTTAGAGACTGTAGCAGTGAGGAAAAGACAAGAGGCAGAGATGGAGGTAGCAGAGATGAGGATGTTGAGGTTCTCTTTAGGAGTGACCAGGATGGACAGGATTAGGAATGAGCACATCAGAGGGACAGCTCAGGTTGGCTGTTTTGGGGACAAGGTCAGAGAGGCCAGATTGGGATGGTTTGGACATGTGCAGAGGAGGGATAGTGGTTATACTGGTCGAAGGATGTTGGAGATGGAGCTGCCAGGCAAGAGGTCAAGAGGAAGGCCAAAGAGGAGATATATGGATGTGCTAAAAGAGGACATGAAGTTAACTGGGGTGAGAGTAGAGGATGCTGAGGATAGAGTTAGGTGGAAACAGATGATTCACTGTGGCGCCCCCTAACAGGAACAGCTGAAAGAAGAAGAGGTTAATATGATTTCTCCCCCCCCACCCCCACCCCATGGCAGAGTTGTAACTAACATTCTGTGCAGTTTTACACTAAGAAACATTAGTCTTACTATTTGCCACCCAGAGTGGTGAACCTCAGCTCATCCTTATTTCTAAAAGACTCAGCCTCTCTGGGATGCTCCTGTTATACCCAGTCATGATGTTGACCTGTTGCCAATTAACATAAGTAGCTGTGAGGTGTTCTAGGTTTATATATGCTGGCATCAGATTCAGAGTAAACACAATAATTATGTTAATTTGAACCTTAGATATCTTATCTTTGTACTGTTACCAAATGAAAATGGGCTAAAAGGGATTTTCAAAGCATTTCAATCAATTTTTATTTACAATTTACACAGTGTCCTAACTTTTTTGGAATTGGGGTTGTAGTAGCTAGTTGTTGGAGTTAATTAGCTAATATGAGAATACAACGCACATAATATTGTTGGAAGAAGACGTCTTCTAAAGGTTTGTTTTTTGAGGATTTGGCCACTTTTTCTTATTGTGTTCTTCTCATGTAAATGAAAGGTTGCAAGTCAGTTTTGACATTAGTCAGTTACTGTCTGGTTTGTCAGTTTCGGTTGTTTTACT